TATTAAGCATTTCATCAATACAAAGTAAGAAATAGACATCTTTCTTAGTAATACTGTTAAGTTTATGATAGTTAATACAAAATTATAATTTGCTATTTTTCTTCTAAACTAATATAACTAGTAAAGTTTAAGGACTAGACAAGGGTCATATAAGTCTACTATTAAGCATTCATTGAATTTTCATTTTAATAAATATTTGTTTTGTAGAAAAAGAAAAGTAAGATCAATATTGAATAAGAGAGTCTTTTTTCTGTATAGATTTGATGAATTATAAAATCAGTGCATTCTAATTTTATAGTATCTTGTGCAAAAAGATTTGAAAATTCTATTAGCAGCTGGCTGAATTGTTTGCTTTGTGTTACAGGTTAATTAATGATCCTGTCATTGAATGACTTAACTTAAACAGTATACACCCTATGAACTGGGCCCTAGACATAATGATCAAGGCAAGTATCATTCTATTTACTCTCTGTTTTTGTGTAGCCTATTTGTTATTTATTATTTTTTTATTTTTTGTCAATAATTTCTAATCTAACCTTTTATTACATATTTCGCTACTACTTATATACCTTATTTGCTTGCAATTAATTATATCATAATTGATCATATAATCAATTGACTCTTAAATTAACTATCTTATTGATTTTCATATACTATCATTGATTCTTAAATTAATTATGAACATTTTTATGCATAATCATTACCTTATTGTTCTAGAGTTTCAGATTGACTCTTCTTACTAAATACACTGCATACTTATTCCTACTATGATATGAGCTAGACTCTCTGTGATCTTTATTCTCAAGATTACTATTATTTTTTTTAATACTGTTAGTTACTTTGCTCAATTCATTTAGCTTTTTAACTCAATTTCTAGTGATTAGGTCCTATAGTTTGATTTTATTCAGTTCTGCAAGGTAGAATTGCCTATGATTTCCTATGTTGTACACTTTATATAGACCAATCTAGTGATAATCAAGCTTTTGAGACAATAAAGTATTTAATGTTGAATCATATACTAGAACCAGATCACCAATCCCAATCCTTTCTTTTGAACTGCTATGTTAATTATGAAAATGCTTTCAGTGTTATTGTAGTTCATCACAGCTTGCTTTATCTTCTTCAATTCGTAACTTAAGTTCTTCAACTGTAAGGTTCTGAATTCTACTAGCTTTTCTGTAGACCAAAACTCTTTTATTATAGCTATTTGATATGTTTTTATCATTAACTCAAGAGGCATAATTACATTCCTTCTATATACAAGTCTAAAAGATGAATATCTTAATTTGCCAACAGTGATATTTATGGCCCATGCCACTTCTTGTAAGTACTCATGTAACCAATTCTGTTTCTCTGCATACACCTTATACAAGACTCTGATGAGTTTTTAAACAGTTCTCTTCACTCTATCATTAGCTTCTGAATAGTAACTTGCTACAAACTTCTGCTTTACACCAATGCATGTAGTCAGTTCATCCATTAAACCATTTTTGAATTCTGTTCCTTTATCAGACACAAGTTCAACAAAGCAACCATGTTAGATAATAATATCATCCTAAATAAATTAGGCAATACTCTTTGCATTTTTTTTTTTAAGAGCTCATGCTTCAATAAATTTAGTTAAATCTTCTACTGCAACTACTATATGTTTGTGTTCATTACTAGTTCAATGCATTGACCCTATGCAATCAATAAATAATTTATAAAAAATCCAACTTGTTACAGCAACATAAATTGGCTTCTTTGGAACCTTGAACTCACACTTTTAACAAATGATACAAGATGTTTCATAGTTTTTTACATCTTTATATAAGTTATCTAATCCCTATTCATAGTCCATCAAAATTTTCCTAACACAATTGTTAATTTCTCAATGTCTATCCTCCCTAGCAATTTCCTTATAGTTCATCATTACAATTCTACCCTTTTCTTTATTACTAAAAATCATATGTCTTGAAGGCTTGCCATTCGCAGCTCTATGGTATAATTGGTTATCCAAAAGGCAATAACACCTTAGTTTCAAGTTCAAATGTCTCAAATCTCCTTTCACAATGTATGATGGCCAAGAGAATGTTTTCAGGTATTTTATTATTGCTTTCAAATCATAAGACCTTTGATTATTCACTACAATACTCATTAACAAGTTCTTTACATAATCATTATCAGTCGAGTGTTGTTGTACTAAAAAGTTCAGATATCTCAAGATCCTATCTGCATTTCTATGTGCTTTACCTAACTTATAATGCACCTAAAAATCAAAGTTCTGTAAAGCCAAAATCTACTACATAAGTCTCTCTTTAATATCACTTTATTGAACAGCTACTCTAATGTATGATAGTCAATCTATATATTGAAAGTTGTTCCTCCTACATAGCACTTATTGGTATAACAACCAAACATGACACTCAAACACTCCTTTTCAGTGATAGTATAATTAATTTTATGTTTATTTAATTTGTATGATTCAAATAATACTGGCCATAGCCAATCATCATTGTCTTTTTGCTTCAAAACTACTTTTAGTGAAACTTCACAGGCATCTGTATACATTTGATAGGGCTGATTTCTACTCTTGGCCTTTTGCCAATCAGGTGCCTTTAACATCACATAATCTACTAACAGTCTTTTTAATTCCTGAAATAACTGTTTTTGTTCACTTTTCTAATGAAATCCAACATCCTGTTTTATGAGGTTTGTTAATAACTTCACCACCTTACTAAAGTTCTTAATAAAACAATGATAATAATTCATTATTCTCAGAAATGAATGAACTTCAGTAAGACAAGTGGGAGTTGCCCATTCTATAATTCTCATAATCTGGTTTAGATCTATTTTAATTCCAAACTTATTAACTACAAACTCATACATGTGCAACTCTTGATAAAGCAAGTAGCATTTTTTTGCTGCAAAAGTGAGCCTGACACTTTTAAATTTAAATGCTAATTTTATAAAGGCATCAATATGATCTCTAACTGACCTATTGGTTCATAACTCCACATCATCCTAATAGGTCGCAGCGATGTTCTGCCATTCATCTTCTTCTAATATGATATTTATTAATCGCTAAAATGTCTTACTGGTGTTCTTTAAGTCTATGCACATTATAGTATATCTCATAAGTCCAATAGGTATAGTAACAACAACCTTATCTTTATTTTCTTTTCAGATTTGGATTTGCCAATATCTCTTATATGCATTAACTGAAGAGTACCAATTATGTCCTATTGCCTTTTCTAAAATATCACGAATCATTGGCAGTAAATAACTGTCTTTCACTATATGTTTATTCAAGAGCCTTATGTTTTTAATAAATCTCAATTAATCCATTCCACCTTCCTTCTTATTTACTGGGAAACAGTAATATGCATATTGTTCTTTTTCTTTTTCTAATAAACTGTGTTTTACCATTTCTCAAAGCTGATTTTTAAACAACATGGCTCATTTAGGATTATTGATACGAATTGGCCTCATTTAGGTTTCTGGTATTACTTTCCCACCAGTACATACTTCATATTCAATTAAATTTGTCTTTCCTATTTTAGAAAGTTCAAAAGTGAACACTTCAGAGATTATTTTAATCAATTGATCTAATAAATAATTTCTATTTTGTACTGGTATTTCAGAATTAATGTCTAACATATTGCTATTTCTATTGTAAGATGTATGACCAACTCTGAACCTTTGATGTTAATAACTCCTTCATTTTCTTGATCAGCATTCTAATAAATAATCTGGTCATGATGCCCAATTCTTTCAAGTTGATTATCATTAATTGAAACTAGTTCTTGTAATATTAATTGATCACTATTATTGGCCTTAATTATTATTTCTTTATATTTAAGATTTATTTTTTTTATTCTGGGTTTATCTAATCAGACACTTTGTACTGACAACACACCTGTCTTATCATTTTCATTATCACTCTCAGACTTCTTATCCTCATTGTTCCTAGAGCCCATCCAACTTTCAAGTACAGTAGTAGTAATAAATAATATCTCTTTGTATCTGGAGGCAATTGAACACCAGTACTAATTATTTCTCCACTTCAAATCACATTTCGCTGTAGCAATCCAAGGCATTTCTAACAATACATCAAAACTGATGGAACCTATAATGTAAAACCCTTGAGTTACTTTCACTTCTTTAGTGTCAACTTCTATATTTGATATATATCTCAGAAAATTACTAATACTATCATCAGCCATCTTTCCTTTTCTATTAATCGATCTTTATGTTAATCCTCTTTTCTTTGCATATCTTTCATGCATTAAATTCAAGCATGAACCAGGATCGATCAAAGTGTCAGTTTTCTCTTCATTAATAGTTACTATACTTATAGACATGTGACCATCTTGTTTCATACTTATTGCCTGAACTGTATGAATAATGCTCATGTTTGTGTCCAATATAGTAACATTGCTCTCCTTTCTTTTATGTGTCAGTACCTTCAAAATTTCAGTTTTAGCTTTTGGAGACTATTTAAATAGTTGCTCTAGTGTCAATGTTACTTCTAGTTTAGCAATTTTTCTTAAAATGTCAAGCTCTTGACTTAACTCTGAAAGTGGTATATATATTATAGAGCTAAGAACATATGATTCAACAGAGATACTACTACTTTTGTCAACTTTTCTTTTTCCCTTCTTTTTTCTATCTTCATCATCCACCATCTCCTTTTTTTTAGTATGTTTTCTCTTTTTAAGCTCACAATTTCTTATATCAAAGATAGGTTCTTCTTTTACTATCTTAATTCTTAAGCATTCCATATCAGTATTATTTGATCTAGATATTACTTTAAAGTATCGAATGTTTGTACCTCTTATTTTAACAGCTTTATTTCTTGCATTCTTTTGTTTACCTCCCTGTTCAACAGATAAACTCAAAAGTGCTCTGTTTAGGCAATTGCGTGAAATATGCCCTTCTTGTTGACAATTAAAGCACTGATGGTTGTCAACATTCCTTCTTTAGAGTTTGGAACTTTGCTTAGCACTCAGGGCCCTTAATTAGGAAGACAAAGAAAATGAATTGTTGTTAGTAAGTTCTTTAACCACTTTTATTAATTCTCTAATATATGATTTGATCTTATTAATTTTGTTATCATTGCTACTTTCTTGTTTAATCTGATTTATAGTAAGAGTTTTGAGTGTAGCTGTAAGGTTGTCAATGTCTAATTTAGCTAAGTAAGTTTTCTCCTTAACTATAAATATACCCTTTTTATCATTCCGTTCTTTACTCTTTTGAAAATTCTCAATTTGAAGTGTCATTGCCTTAGCTCTGATGAAATCATCTGAACAAAAGTTTTCTACTTTTAGTCAGTAAGTCTTCAGCATTCTATCTAAATACCAATTCTGTTTCTCATTAGCTCTTATTTTGTCTTTTACAGCCTCTGCATATGTCTCGAATCTACTGATATAACTTTGTAACATTTTCTTCTTACCCTGTTTGATATTTCTAAGGCAATTTATTCTTAACTTCTTATCACTCTCTGTGTTTATTACCTTAACTATTCCTTTTTTCAGGGTGTCCTAATTATTGTTGCAGCCTTTTATCAACTCTTTTACTTATGCTTTAGTTTGGTTTAGCATATACAGAACTACTATCCCATATTTCATTTCATTGTTCCAGCCCTTCAACTTGGCATACCTACTATAATCAAAAAGGAATTCCTTAACATCATTCTTCTCATCATCTTAAAGAATGGTTTCATCAAGTTCTTGAACATATTGATATATATAGTTTGATGTTATGAAGTAGCAGATATATATATTAATGAACTAGTTTTTTTTTTGACTATTTGCTGATATTTTATTATGTTTTGCAAGATTAATGATAATTTGCCCAGGTTCTTGTATACAGGTTAATCAATGACTCTGTTACTGAATAACCTAACTCAAACAGTATACATCCTATAAACTGAGCTCTAGACACAATGATCAAGGCAAATATCATTCTATTTATTCTCTGTTTTTGTGCAGCCTATTTGTTATTTATTATTTTTTTATTTCTTGTTAATAATTTTTAACTTAACCTTTCATTACATATTTCACTACTGCTTATATACCTTATTCGCTCACAATTAATTACATTATAATTGATTGTATGATCGATTGACTCTAAAATTAATTATCTTATTGATTTTTATATACTATTATTAACTCTTAAATTAATTACAAATATCTCTATGCATAATCATTACCTTATTGTTCTAGAGTTTCAGGTCGACTCTCCTTACTAAATATGCCATATACTTATTTCCACTATAATACTTATTTAGCATCCAAGAGTTTAATGTTTAATTTAGATAATTTTGAGCTAATATTATATTCTTTATAAGAAATTATAGTGTTGATTGTAAAAACTTGATGCATATTGTTTGGTTCAATAGGTATTTTTCATTCTGCCTAGGATGATCTAAAAATTTGACTTTTTTTATTTATGAACAAGAAAAGTATATCATTGTTGAGTGGTTTGAGCATTTTGTTAGAATATTTGTAAAAGAGTCTGAGTAAATTTTTCTAACTTTTTTATCTTTTGTTAAAGCTGTAGAATAAGTTGGTTCTGAATTTTGACTTGTTGTTGTAGTTGTGCAACTTGTAGTTGCAAGGAGTCTGGTTCTGGTAAAGTTGCATTAATGAAGTTTAGCAAAAGGTCTACTGGTTCTGGTATAAAAGGTTTATAGATAGGAACTGAAGAAGAAGCATAGTTCTGACAATATTCTTGATAAGTGTCTAATTCATCTTAATGATTAACATTGTAATATTATAGATATTTTTAAACATTATTTTATATTATTTTATTGATATTATATTAGTTTTATATTATATT